CCCCCCCCGCTCGCTACGCCTCTGGATAGAGTTGCTTTGCAAGATCTAAAATATTTTTTTTTAATGCCACTGACTAAATCTCACACCTCTAGTTTTCTCTCTTCACAATCCCCGGGGTTCAGACGAACACACGCTTGCTAGCAGTAGCAGTCCAATGAGGTGGTGAGTGAAGTTGTTGCCAGCGACTAGCCTACAGATTGCTGCTGACACAGCTAGCTGGTTCACTGTGACACGCAAAGCAACACTAAGACAATCACCACCATCAATAGGATGCGTTGCAGTGATATTTTTATATCTTTTGAAACTCCCACCTTTCCCACCCCCACCCCGTGTTTCTGGTATGCCACCAATCTCTTTAAACAACAACCGCCACCTCCCCTTTCAGTGCATATATAATATAATGAAGGATGGTTCCATCTATTAAAAAATATACAAAAACCGATTGTTGTTTTCTGGGTCCATTCAATGCGGGGCCAAAAGGGCTAAAGCTTCAACAACCGAAAAATTTTTAATTTTTTTAAATCGGACAAAATTACATAAATATTTGTTCACCGGGTCTCTGAAAATCGTAGTTTTGGGGGGTCTCGGCGTACAATCGTAAAAGACATCTAAAAATCGTACATTGTACGCCAATATCATAAAGAGTAAACAGGTCTCCATTTATAACAATGCCATGTATGTCATTATTACCTGGATAACCTCTTCTCCTCTGTCATCGAGAGGGGCTTGAACTAATCTGATATTAAAAACGCTGTGGCTCCGACTTGATTCAGCATTTAATGTTGTATGGGCCACTTTTCTTCTCTTTTGACCTGGATTAAGAGCAGGGTTAATCAGTTACATAAAAAAAAATCAAAGCTTCATACATCTATTTAGACTTATTTATTATTAAGACTAATGAATTAATCACAATTGTGTATAATTTATCAGTTTTTCCACCAGTAATGCTGAATCATAACATATTTTTCAGTACTGAAGCCTTAAAAAAAATGTTTTAATTAAATTTGTATTCAATAATTTCAGGCACCTCCTGATAGATTAGTTTAATATACTGTTATAGCCTGTGTGTTGACTTAATTTTTTTGATTGTCACCAATTAACTTGGTGACATTGTGCTACCAATTCTTTTCTATTTCTACCACACCCTCCCCTCCCTTGATTTGGAAAAGGTTGTTTCTCGAATTTCTTTTCTGGAGGGTTCTAAAAGCCTCCCTATATATAAGCCAGCAGTTTTCCTAGCTGGAAGAGATTTTTTGCAAAATTTCCAAGACATGGAACTTGTAAAGACATAATAAACTTATATGAGCCTTACAAGGTTGTACTCTTTGTGTGCATGTGTAAATTAATATTTGTATTTTTTTAGAATTATTCTTTTTCACTTGCTGTGATGTAAGTTAAAATGGTTTTTATTTCTGTATCTTTGATTTTGTAATTGTATATAAACTTAATATTATAATTAAATATTATGAATATTGCTAGCTTCTGTATTGTTTTTCTTTGCATACTGCTTTTCAGTCCTTTGTTACGTTATCTTCCTTTAACAAGCCAAATCTTGAAAGTTATTAAATCTAAAAAAAACATATATGTTATGTCATAATACAAACACACACACGATGCATCCCACCTTTATAGAAAACATCAATGGCATCCTGTGGCTGCTTCACCTCTATTTCAGTACAGTTATTGACGTACATGTTATCTCCCGAATCAGTGCGTAAGATTTTAGATTGGGGACCTCTGAAAATGATTATGGCAACAACAAAAAATGTCAAAATATGCTACATTTCAATTTTAGAGAATTGAGAAACTGAATTGGAAGTTATTGTTTTACAAAAACATTTAATGTCAATTACAAGAAGTGTGAAACAACTCCCACCCAACCTACTTTTAAAATAATCCCTCCTAAGCAAATAGCTCTATTTGGAAATATAAATATATTATAACCCTTTACGGGGCAGAGGTACTTCCTCTTGCATGTCCTGAACGGGCTCCACTTTTCCGTTTTTTATTAAAATTTTGGGCTACATTACAAAAAAAATCAAATCTAAGGTTTTAGTCAACAAATTTTTTGTGAAATAAAAAACAAAATAAAGGAAAATGAATGCAGATTTATAATTGTACTCACATGTTGCCATTAACCCTTATATGAACACAAATATTTGCAAAAACAACATATTGTTTGTGATTGTGAGTCATCTATTTACTATTTACAAACACTGCCACAAAATCGAAGTTTATAAAATTCAACTCTGCTTACTACGCTGATTTCACTAATATTACTAATAATATAAACATCTAGTTCCAATTTACCGTCAATTCGTGCACTTAAATGTCACTTTTAATTGAATCCAGCGAAATCTCCGCTATCACTTGAATAATTGGCAAAATCCATTTTAAAAAAAAAATTTTTAAACCACTAAAACTAAATAAAAAATTGATTAAATACTTGTAATTGGCGCCTACTCTATTAAGCTATCGGAAAAACCGGATGTAAACAATAGGAAGTCTCGAAAAGCCTCGGAGGTCACAAGAAAACAACACTAAGTCGTCACTGACGCTTTTGGGCGTTTTGCCCTTTAAGTGGTAAAGACGTTTTCGGCCGCTCTGCCCCGTAAAGGGTTAATGTTACAGAGTGTACAAATAAAATGAAGATACAAATGTGAACAATATATTATAATCACCGTCATCAGTCTACATCAACTGATGTACCAGTACTAATTTTAAGGCCAGATTCATTCATCTTTAACTATAGGATCATAAATATGTCTGCATAATTTCAAGAGACTTTTGATCCATCAGAGAGACAATCTCTAAAGTGAACTTAAGCCAGTTCATGTGTAAGTAACCTGCCAGCTCTGTACAGCCATTAAGTTCAACCTAAATATTAAGCACATGATAGTAAAATATTATTACTTATATCCTGATATGACATCATATGGCAGCTCCTCTAGGAGATCATAGACATAGTTATTGTAGATCTCAATGTATGAAACAAACACAGCATAGTTGTTATCCTCTTCTACTGTGTCAACTTTTGTGGAATCACAAACACGATCGATATCTCCTGATTCAGGCCTGGTAGAGAGAAACATTGCAATTTTTTTAATGGAATCAAGAAAGATTTAAATGAATTTAAGATGAGTTAATTTTTAATTATATAAAGTAAAAGATACCTTTTTTGGTTCGTTTTGCTGGGTGTGGTCAAATTAGGCATTATCTCTCGTCTCTGTCTCTCCATCATAGCATCAGCTTCAGTTTGCACTTCAAAACCATTCATTCTGTCCGGTCTGAAGACCTAGAAATTGAGCATTAAATATTTAAAACAAATTCACACAACTATTTACTGTGTATAAAAAAATTAAATCTCCGTCGCTGAAGACATTTTTAAGGACTGGAGATTCATACCGTAAAATTATCAAGAACATGCTAATTTATAAGTGATCTTAGCAGAGTAAAATCTTTTAAAGGCAGTTCTTGATTTATGAACATTTGCATAATGAATGTAGCACTGTTTTCTTATGTACAGCTACAGTGTCCTGTTCCCAGTCCAGGCTCACAATATTCTGAATAAATTCTTCTAACTTGAATATCATTTTTATTAATCTTATTACAAATAGTTCAAGAGCATTGGCACACAGTTTAACACCAGTCTTCTTGGCAGGATCCACTATTTTATTGTATAACTGTGTAACAATGATAAATGCAAATACCATTTAAAACTTTCATATATTCAACATGCATAAACCACAGGTTCCTAACCAAGATCCTATTTAATAAAAGCAAAGTGACATTTCAAATAACATAAAAGAAAACATTACTCTAAATTGCACTGTTTCTTACATTAATAAGTCACAGACACTGGGAAAGAGGAAGCTCTTAAACAAAAATACATTATTCATTGGTTAATTTTTTATTTTTGTTTACGTAAAGTTGACAATACTTTCATTTTTATTGAGGATGAAATAATTTCTAAACAGAGATAAGGTAAATCTTTTTAATGCATCCAGAGTCATATGGATATCGTTTTTGAAACTTTAGTTGGACAATGTAAAAGGCAAGAGAATACAACAGGAAATGCAACCCTTTCAACAAGTCAAACATAGAATGTGAAATTCTAAACATTAAATTTTAGCTTTAACAACTTACATATTTTTTTGCCTGGAGATCTGCAATGCTGTTAAAGAGAACATCAAGACATCTAGGCAGTATACCTTGATCCTGTGGACTTCCTGTCATTGTATATGTTTTCCCCGAACCAGTGATGCCATAAGTGAACAAAAGACCTATTCAAGATAATAGTTTTTAAAATCCATCACCATATTTTCTTCACACAAAATCAAAATAATTTTTAATTTTTAGATTGAAAAAAAATATTTAATTATCTGATTAAATTTTAAAATGCATTTTTTTAAAGTTATAGTGTGTAAAGTTAATAAATATGTATAGAAAAGGATTAGATATTTACCATTCTTTCCAGCCACCAAATCTCTAACAAGTGGTAAGGCAGTGTGGTCAAATACAGCCTTCTGTGATGCAAATTCGTCAAATACTCGTTGGAAAGTGTACTGATACTTAAAAGGGAACAAAATTAATAGGATTTTATAAGTGTAGTTTGAAGCATAAAGATGGAGAAATCACAGTGCTTCAGAAATAAGTTTTTGGTTTTAGAAGGAAGCTTTAATTCTTTAAAAATAAGAAAAGTCTTGCCAGTTTTGTTTCACTGTGTAAAATTTAAATGGATACCAGGTATTGCAAACATAAATTTTGCAAAACCTAAAATTTGCTTAAACACATACAGAACTAAATGATATAATTACCTCCTTGACTTGACCATTTCTTGCTACTGCATTCTAAGGGGGAAAAAATATTTTAAAAACCCCAACATAATTTTTAAAAAGAAGTCATACTAAAGCTATAAAAACTAATACGGCAATTGTATGCATCATTTACCATGCATCTGATTCTAAGGAGAAGTGATTTTGTAATTTACTTCTGTTACTTTACCCCAATATTGTAATAATGGTTATTACCCCTTATTCCTAGTAACCCAGATAGTGGCTCTATAAATGATATTAATTATAATCTTACACTAAATTTTCATATAAATGAAAGGACTGCTGCCCTGCTTTCAAGCTTAGTAAATGAATGAAATAGTGAAACGAGGTATGTGGAAGCTTGAAATAAGATAACAGGACAAAAAACAAGGACGTTTCGGCATAAAGCCTTCCTCGGCCAACAATAGAAATGAGAAAAACACTTCCGGAGACACAAATGAATACTGCTTGAGTTGTCTACTGTGCTCTTTTCTTTGTTATATTTTCATTTCTATTGTTGGCCGAGGAAGGCTTTATGTCGAAACGTCCTTGTTTTTTGTCCTGTTATCTTATTTCAAGCTTCCACATACCTCGTTTCACTAAATTTTCAACAGTTTTAATTGAAATAGAGCACAAAAAACATTTTTTAAATAATAATAATAAGAGTTAATCGGTAAAATTGAATATGGGCCAAAGCCTCCAATTGAGCCCTAATAAATATTATGCATATCTTCTTTACCTCTGGTGGTAAAAGCTGAACAACAGAGTCTCCAATAGGTTTAGCACAAGTTGGCTCATTTGGGTCTTCTAAGGGACGCAATCGGCAATATACCTGGCAATGATTTAAGTCAAAAACATATTTGTGAAAGCACACCATTCTAAATAATTCTGTTCGCAAACAAAGTCTTTAAAAAAAGATTTCTTCAAAAAAGATTTCTTCTTTTTTTGCACCTAGTGGTAAATGGCACATTCCAAATTATTTTTATTTATCAATGTTCATATCTTCCAACTTAGACTTCTTGAGGTTTCTCTCACTCTCTCTGTTGAGGGTCCTTCTCCAGGTGTTTCATGGTCTCCCTATTTTTGTTTGTTCTACTGAGGATTTCCTAACTGAGACTATCTAGTTAAATTTAATTTTGATTGCCCCCACTTCCTTTGCAATATATCCTGGTCCCCAGCATTGCTCCCTGAACTTTCTCAATGTAATCTCCTGTCAAACCATTTTTATTTTCAATAGTATTTTAGAATCATAAGCAAAAATCAGGGCAGGAGATAAAGAAATTTTAACTTTAACTTGACATTGCGTTTTGATGTTCTCCATGCTTACCACCCATGTTAAAAAAAGATCATTTATTTAAATACTATCTTATTTCTTATTCAGTGTATAAATGCTCCTTTTGATCTCTGTGTTTTGATGTGTGCATCAAACCCAGCTTCCTTATTAACCATACTTCCAGATTGTAAAGGTGGAAAGCAACTTAAATGTACCAAGAAACAAGCATATACTAAACAAGTTAAGACCAAGGTAACTTTTTATACAAATTAACCGTCATAAATGTAGCTCATTCTCTATAAAAAAAGAATGTTAAAGATTAAATCATTGTCCACTTTGAGGGTGAAAATCTGATGTCTGAGGATGATCTGGCCTCTTTCAATTAACAAAATAATCCAAGCATGAAGTCGAAATATGGAGCTAGATGCACAGAAAGAGCTACAGAGCAAGAAAGAGGAAAAATAAAGTATTGAGAGCTCAAGAGAATGGAACTAGATGCTGAAAGTGAGATAAAAATAAAATTAAAGTAATGGAAATTATGAGCAACCACAGTAGTATGATGCAATTAAATTAGCAAAGTTAATCCTTAAATTTGCAGATAAGGATATTGACCTGTATTTTTCTAATTTTGAAATAACTGCACAAAATTATAACATAACAGAAAAATTTTTGTCACCCTACTGCAACTAGTTCTGACTGGTCGGGCAGCAAAAGTTATTGTGCACTTGAAAGCTAGAAAGCGTGGGGACTATAAGCTAGTCAAGTCATTAATACTTAAGGCTTTTGAATGTATCCCCAAAGCATGTCATAAAAAGTTTAGGGAGTTGGTGAAACGTGATGGCCCAACTCATGTCAAGTTTCTACAAGAAAAGGAATGACTCCTGGAAATGGCTTCACGCAAAGAACATAGACTTCAATAAATTCGAGAACCTCATAATGATGGAAGAGTTCAAGAATTGTGTTCGTGTGGACGTTCAGACCATGACAAAGATGATGTGTATAGGCCAGCAGTGTTGCTGACGACTTCACCATCAACATCAATTCTCCAAGAGCCAGTTTTACACAAGAAAAGCACCGTAGAGCAACTGTAGCAGCTTATAGCACGCCTCAACAAGATAAATTAAGTCTGACACAAAAGAATCAAGTCCAAGAGACATCTGAGCCAGTTGTAAAAATGAAGGCCATAAGAGGGATCGTTGAATATTCAAGAAAAAACTTGAGAAGATCATGCATCCTGGTACACCACACAAAGTCTCCACTTGCACTTCTTATCATACATCTGAATAAAGATATATTATTATAGTTCCACTAATGCCTATGCAACAATTCGGAAATCGAGCAACCAATGAGCAATCTGAAATTTTAGTAGCACCCCATTGAAAGAATATTAGCATTAGGTGAGGTCATGGCAACCAAGATTGAAAGGCTGTGGTAGAATGTGGGGGAAACGTCAAGGATACAATTACTATTGTAAACATCACTAGCTTTGGAATCGTTTTTTTGTTTTTGTAATATTTTTTTTTCAGTTCTTTGTTACATATTGTTCATTTAACAAGCCAAATCTTAAAGCTGATTACTGATTACATTTACAAAACCATATAAAAGTACATAACAATACGAAAATTAAACTTGTGCCTAAGTGTACTAGTAAAAGACCTAATAATTAGGCTTCACCTTAAATCGCCTGCCTAAAATAGTTTCAGAGTCTTCTTCTGCTCATATTTATTGAGTCTGAAGCACTGTCCCTCAATTAATAATGCATCATTTTGCATTTGACATTTTTTTTTATCAAATTGAGTTTAATAAATTTTAATTTATGTTTACCTCCACAGGTTCATACTGGTATGGTGAGTTTGCTTGCTTGCGCTGTGCTTTTCCTCTTCTGTAATGTATGAAAATTAAAGAATTAGGGCCTATTCAATTAACTTTTTGTGGATTGTTTATTCTTTATAAAGTCTTAAAGTATAATCTTCAAAAACTTTATTTGCACTTGAGTATAATATGGGCCTTCCTTAATCTGTACAGTAGACTAAGTAGGCGTATGCACAGAATGACTGTATTATATCCATTGGGCTATGCCCTAGCTAATATCTTAGTATGGGTCTTCTTAGGCTTATTTTTGAGTAGGCCTTAAGTCTTAGGCAGTGTCTACATGTTCGGCGACCGGAAAAATAGTGTGGGAGATATTCATTCTTCCGACGAGATGGCATATGACAAGAGGTCGCCGGCAAAATTTTTTTTTTAAAGTCTGTTATCTTGGTTTAAATATCTTAAAGAATGAAATAGTGAAACGAGGTATGTGGAAGCTTGAAATAAGGTAACAGGACAAAAAACAAGGACGTTTCGGCATAAAGCCTTCATCAGCCAACAATAGAAATGAAAATACAATTGTATTTTCATTTCTATTGTTGGCTGATGAAGGCTTTATGCCGAAACGTCCTTGTTTTTTGTCCTGTTACCTTATTTCAAGCTTCCACATACCTCGTTTCACTATTTCATTCTTTAAGATATTTAAACCAAGATAACAGACTTTAAAAAAAAAATTTTGCCGGCGACCTCTTGTCATATGCCATCTCGTCGGAAGAATGAATATCTCCCACACTATTTTTCCGGTCGCCGAACATGTAGACACTGCCTAAGACTTAAGGCCTACTCAAAAATAAGCCTAAGAAGACCCATACTAAGATATTAGCTAGGGCATAGCCCAATGGATATAATACAGTCATTCTGTGCATACGCCTACTTAGTCTACTGTACAGATTAAGGAAGGCCCATATTATACTCAAGTGCAAATAAAGTTTTTGAAGATTATACTTTAAGACTTTATAAAGAATAAACAATCCACAAAAAGTTAATTGAATAGGCCCTAATTCTTTAATTTTCATACATTACAGAAGAGGAAAAGCACAGCGCAAGCAAGCAAACTCACCATACCAGTATGAACCTGTGGAGGTAAACATAAATTAAAATTTATTAAACTCAATTTGATAAAAAAAAATGTCAAATGCAAAATGATGCATTATTAATTGAGGGACAGTGCTTCAGACTCAATAAATATGAGCAGAAGAAGACTCTGAAACTATTTTAGGCAGGCGATTTAAGGTGAAGCCTAATTATTAGGTCTTTTACTAGTACACTTAGGCACAAGTTTAATTTTCGTATTGTTATGTACTTTTATATGGTTTTGTAAATGTAATCAGTAATCAGCTTTAAGATTTGGCTTGTTAAATGAACAATATGTAACAAAGAACTGAAAAAAAAATATTACAAAAACAAAAAAACGATTCCAAAGCTAGTGATGTTTACAATAGTAATTGTATCCTTGACGTTTCCCCCACATTCTACCACAGCCTTTCAATCTTGGTTGCCATGACCTCACCTAATGCTAATATTCTTTCAATGGGGTGCTACTAAAATTTCAGATTGCTCATTGGTTGCTCGATTTCCGAATTGTTGCATAGGCATTAGTGGAACTATAATAATATATCTTTATTCAGATGTATGATAAGAAGTGCAAGTGGAGACTTTGTGTGGTGTACCAGGATGCATGATCTTCTCAAGTTTTTTCTTGAATATTCAACGATCCCTCTTATGGCCTTCATTTTTACAACTGGCTCAGATGTCTCTTGGACTTGATTCTTTTGTGTCAGACTTAATTTATCTTGTTGAGGCGTGCTATAAGCTGCTACAGTTGCTCTACGGTGCTTTTCTTGTGTAAAACTGGCTCTTGGAGAATTGATGTTGATGGTGAAGTCGTCAG